ATCATAAGTTAAAGACACATGCAGAAGAAAAATCTGCAAAAACTCACCAGCCATGGATGAATGCAGAAGTTGCAAACCAGCTTTGAGGTATCAGAAAATTTCAAAAAATTCTGCAAATTTTACTGGCTATAGTACTCGAGCAGATGAACAACTTTGATTGAGGAAGTTTTCTGATCTGAGCTTCCGAAATATGACTTATGTACTGATGCACAATACCCACGGGTTTGGGTCTTGAAGAAGAAGAAGAAAGAAGAGAATGAGAGAAAATCAGAAAATAAAGCACATCATGCCAAGTTCAGCCTTTTTATATACAAAAAAGAGGTCAGAGCAAGATTAAAGTAAGAAGAGGAAAAGGTAGAAACCCATACCAACAGTTTTGTTCACACGGAAATTGGCACCCTTCCAGCAACTCGAGCAAATCAAAGAAAAGGGAATCCCAGAAGATTAGTGCGAGCCCTTCCTTGCTAGCACCCACGTTGTAAGCACTCACGTTGCTGCAATAACAAAATAGGTCAAAAGAGGGTTTGATGCTTGACAATCAAAACAAAGGGCAATATTCATGGATGAAGGGAACCCAGCATATTCCTCAATAAATCCAAGAGAAAGCTAGAGAAGGGACATACCTTGCTAAAATCCCAACGGGTGACTTTGAATATACCAAGAAGGGAGCGAAATTGAGAATCATAGAGGAAAACCCGCACAAAAAGGTCCCTTCTAGCAACGGCAGAAGGGCTTCTTCGAAGGGAGAAGGGCTGAAGGGGTTGAAATCGACTTGGGCTCTTTTCCCAGCGGCTGGAGGCAGATGTTTTCCACTTGATCTTACTCTCTCACTCAGTTTTGAGCTGGGGGAACAAGGGAAAACGAAGAGAAGAAAAGTAGGAAGAAGTTGGATCTGGTGCAAGAAAAGGGAAGAGAAAGAAAGAAAATAATAAAAAAGAAAGGAAGAAGGCGTTTGGCATTGGGAAACTGCAAATAACCGCTGGGGCCAATTATGACACGTCGTCATTTTGCACGCGGGAAGAAGAGAAGTTCTCTACAAATACAAATCTGATTTTTTGGGTCGGGTTTAATTATTCGGCCCATTCCAGCACCTGTCCTGTTTCAAATATCCTTCCAGCACCTGCCATGTTTTCAAACATCCTTCCAGCACATGCCCTATTTCAAGCATTCTTCCAATATCTAGCCATATTGTGGCACGATATCACCTTCATTGAAGTTTTGTCCTCTAAATTCAAAGTGTTCGGAGGCTGGTGCTGTAAAATCAAACACAATGGTGAATCCAAGCTTATTGCATCCGCAACTCTAAGATTGGATCCCCACTATCCACTAGCACGTCCGGCTACTGTCAAATGACATCCACCATGCTAAATGTCCCAAAAGCCATATTAAACCATGCTACCTTAGCCAAAACCAAGCATCCAAGCATGCAAGCCAAAATCAAGCATACACGCCAATACCAAGTATCAAGCCAAAATCAAGCATACATACCAATGC